TTCCCATAAATTATACTTCACCTTGACACAGCAAGGTACAAGAGGATCAAGATGAGATGATCTTAAGGCCTTTGATGTGTTTTTTTGTTGTCCATCTCTGCCTGACATCTTGTCTAGTTGATTATATTTGATTATTGATTTATTCCAACCAAGGCTGTTTAGACTATTTTCTACACAGTTGGAATCCTGTCACCAATTCTGCATTCTTGATATAATTATATGGTATATTCTCTTGATATGCCCTCATGTTTCTTGTTTTGAATCTTATGTTATTGCTGTAACAAAAGTGGCAGTACCTCAGCGTTTATTTTATTTTCTGTTATAGATATTCTTACCAATGTTAAAAAGTGTTCTAAACACACTTATATCTCCACTGCCTTCAGCCTTCTAACCATCACAACATTTCTGTTTTCAAGCTATCACACATGTTACAAAGCAATCACAATAATATATGTGAGCTAGATTTGAGTCAACTGAGGTGAGAAAGTAAATTTTCAGGAGCTATACAAACCCTATCCTGATATAAGGAAGTGAATCAATGGCAGTTGATTCGTAAAAAAAATTATGTCAAAGTAGTGGTTTTTATAGATGAATGAATCTACAGTACATATGAAAAAGAGTGATGAAGATCTCTTGAGAGAAAATGACTCTTGAAGAGAACTGATTGCCCATATCTTTGGTCATGAGAAGAAGAAAACTTGAGTACATCGTGACACAGGAAAAGCCGGAGGGGTAAAGAGGCAGAGGAAAGCCGAAAAAGAAGATGCTGTTTAACATCATGGCATGGAAGATCATCTTTGCCAAAATTGATTGAAAGTACACAAGACAGAAGGTTTTGGATAGATATGACTACCAACACTACATGACATAGACTATAAGAAGACGTCAATAATTTAACCATACTCAGCTGTTAACTCTTTGTCTTTATAACACTGTTCTCAGTAGGGCACGCTGAAAATTATGTGTGATGAGGTTAACTCTTGTGTAAAAATTATTGTAAAGAGGCTGAAACCTGTAACTTATCTTAGATCAAGGTCCGATAATTAAGTAATGAGACTAATTCCATAACAATTAAAATAATCAACAGTTGAAGGTATAACCTGTATTTTATTCAAAGTAAGCCCCTTGTGCATTGATACAGCAAGTGGCACGATCTAACAAACACTGGAATGACCTCTGTTGTTATGGCCCTTAAAGTCGATGTCATGACCCTTTGGATGACATCAATATCGTTAAAGAAATGCCCTTTCAATCATAATTTTAATTTTGGGAATAGAAAATAATCACAGGGAGACAAATCTGGTGAATAAGGTGGAAGGCTGAGAACACACACTTGTTTTTGGGCCAAAAATTCTTGTTTTGATGATGTCTCTTAGGTACTCAACCCGCTGGTCGTCAGAAAATGAATGTGGTACAAGCTGGCAAGCAACTTTTTTCTTGCCAAAATCTTGCACTAAAATGTTAATTAATGGTCTCTCTATTAATACCAGATTCATCTGCCATGAGCCTCACAGTAAAACAATGATCTTCTTGTATCCGTCATCAGACTTTTGAAATGAGTTCATCATTACGAACATAAATTTGGCGTCCAGATCTAGGTGAATTAGTAATCATTTCCACACCACTTTTGAATGATGAATACCACCTAATTGTGCACCAGATAAACAATTATCCCCATAAACTTGTTGCATCAGTTCAACTGTTTCAAGACGCTTTTTCTGAGTTTTTAAAAGAATTTAATGTGGTTTTTTTGCTCCGTGCTGATTACGTAACAATGCACCTCTGACTATGTCAACAAAGTGGCGGCTTGTTTGTTGTCTGCTTATCGAGCGGTGATGAAAAGTTGTCAGATCATAAAAATGTTTCCTCATTAGATTCGATGCTTTGCTTCATAGATGGCACTTTTGTCTTGGCCATAATAAAATCAGTTTCATTACTTAATTGTCAGACCTTGTGTATATATATATATATATATATATATATATATATATATACATATATACATACATACATATATATATATATATATATATATATATATATATATATATATATATATATATATCATCATCATCATCAGGTGCCTTGCCGACTGGCGTGGGCGATCATGCCTCTCCATAATCTGCGATCTCCTGCAGCATGAATCAATTCGTGTGCCGACACACCTCCATGCCATGTCACAAGACTGTCAAGCATCTTCTCTCGTTGTCTTTCTCTATCCCTCCTTCCACAGGTCTTTTCAGTGGTCACAACGTGTTCTATTTTCCCTCTTCTCATAACATGTCCAAAAAATGATGACTGTCTCCTTCTGATGTCTGTGATAAGTTGTCTTTGCGCTCCCGCCTCTTTCTAAACCTCTTGGTTGCTCTTTTTGGCTGTCCAAGGTATTCTAAGCATTCTTCTGTAAAACCACATCTCTGAGGCCTCTAAAAATTGTTTGGCCTGCCTACCGATTGTCCAGGATTCACAGCCATTTGTTAAAACTGGATGTTTGTAGCAAGCAAGAATTCTTTTTCTAATTGTCAATTATATGGATATATTGCACAAGATGTTTTTCATTTTATAAAATGCAGTTTTTGTCTGTCCAATTCTGTTTCTTATTTCAGTTATGCCACAATGTCTATCATTTCCTGTAATTCTTTCTGACTTGTTGCTATCAAGACTGTGTCATCAGCATAACATAAATTATTTATATTGTGCCCACCAACCAAAATTCTGGGCATATCAATTAAAGATCTCATTATATATTCACTGTATATTAAAAACAAATTAGGGGAAAGTACACATCCTTGTCGTACGCCCCTCTTTATGCTTTGAAATGTACCTAAACAGTTGTTAATTCTTATAGCTGCTGTTTGCTGCCAATACATATTCTTTATTATTCGTAGATCTTTCCCATCAATGTTCAATTTTTCTAACAGTTTGATTACTTCTTCATGCTTCACACAATCATATATATATATATATATATATATATATATATATATATATATATATATATATATATATATATATATATATATATATATATCTTACAGCCATCTTACATAAAATTGCTTTTGACCTTTAAAATAACACTATTTGCTATTTATTTTCTACAGGTTTTTGCATAAAACTCAAGTGATAGTACTGCTTGAGACGAGACAGAGAAAGTGGCGTGACTTGGTGAAGCTGTAGACTCCATGTACAGTCATCAAAAATAACTGCAGCAGTTCGACCATGTTACAGATTATTGGGAGCTGACAATTTTTCTGCTTGATGCTTTTCCACTGCTCACATTCATCACTTATTCTTTGAACTATTTCCTCTCGCAGAGTGTAACAAACAATTAAAGTTATCAAATCATGGCATCTGTAAATTCTATAGAAAAAATACCACGGAAAGGCAAAAAGCTGCTAAAGATCATTAAGTCATTAGACTTTACCAAGGCTGTTGAACTTCTTCAGAAAGATAAATCGTTTTCACCGGATCAGCTAGGGACGGCATTGATAGCAGCTTGCCAGTACGGACATGAGGTCCTGATCCAGACGCTTGTTAATTCAGGGGCAAATGTTCGCTGTAAAGATTCATTTAGAAAAACAGCATTAATGATTTGTATAAACAATGGTTATCCTGAAGTGGTTCGTTTTCTAATTGAGAATAAAGTTGACGTGAATGCTACAAATTATAAGGATGACACCGCTCTGCTTCTCTCAGTTTGTTCATCAGGATCTGCAGAAATAACAAAACTGCTTCTAGAACAGCCCGGGATACAGATTTTTCATCAGAACAAAGACAGATACTCTGCTCTGAAGAAAGCATTACAGGTCAGGAATTTTGAGGCAGCCAATCTGCTGCTGGATGCATACATCAAGGTCAAGCATGACGAAGAGTTGATAACTGATAAGCACATGCAAGGAACTGCAAAAGGTATTGCAAGTAATTTTAGGGATGGGAGTGCAGTTCAGCATCAACGACCACAGAAAAGATCAAGGAAAAAGAAAAAGGGCAGCACAGGTCAACTAAAAATGAAGACTGAAATGAGGATGAGTAGTGCTAGGTCTGTTGGTGCCATGGTTGACTGGGAATTTTATGAAATATTCAAATCTTTGTTTATTAAAGGTAATCACACAAACAATTTGAGTGAGGCTGAAATGACCATAATCAAGAAACTTCTGGAATGCGGAGCAGATGTCAATACTAGCTGGGCCTCACTGTCAAACTTCTTTGTACTGTTTGAAATAGAGGAAAGCTGTGAGATCAAAGATCTCAATGAATTAATTAAAACATCGGATTATTGGAAAGCAACTCCATTGAAGATTGCTGTGCAAATGGGCCATCAAGAGCTAATGAAATTGTTGCTGAAATACCAAGCAAAAGTTAATGAGCATCATTTCCTGCAGTCTGCACTTCACTGGGCTCTCTATCGAGGGCACACCGACTGCGCTAAACTGCTGCTCCAAAACGGTGCAAAGATGCACGTTGTATATGCTCTTGTGTCAGCAGTCAAGTCTCAGATCCCCAGTTACATGGAATTCCTCTGTGAAAATTATCAGGATGAAGTAGTCAGTATTCTACAGAAATTTAACAATCTGAATGTTTTTGTTAGTGCTGCTGTCACGGGAGGCAGTCTTCAAATCCTGACCCAGATCTTTGAGGTAGGAGTTGATTTCAGGGATGTACATTTGCCATTAGCTGAGTCGAAAAATGGAGATATAGCCAGATTTCTTATTGAAAAAGGGGCAGATGTCAATGCTGTAAAAACAGATTCACACTGTCACCAAACACCTCTTTTGGATGTTATGAGCAGAAATAGTTATCCTGAAACCATAGAGGTGATTCAGGTGCTTCTGGAGAATGGGGCATCTGTAAATGACAGAGACCAAAACTGCCAAACACCCTTAATAATTGCAGCATCCAGATGGGAAAACCTCTCACTGTTGCAGTTGATGCTAGATCATGGAGCCGATTTAAGCAGTAAAGACAACATGGGCAACACTGCTCTTATTTGTGCTATTAAGGCAGAATTAGAATGTGTCTCTCTTCTGGTAGAGTTTGCTAAAGACAGGAAAGATGTACTTAATGCCCAGAACAATAAAGGCTTGACAGCTCTCATGGCAGCTGCAGCTTTTGAAAGAACTGATCTGATAAGAGAGCTTTTGTGCCATGGTGCTGACGTTAACATTGAAGATAACCATGGGGATACAGTTTTGTTTCATTACTTGTCCTCGGACTGTGAGCCTGAGCAAAAACTTTTGCTTGAGTTTGTTCATGCGGGGATTGATGTCAACAGACACAACAAAGACGGTTTATCGCCACTGATGGTAGCTGCTAAGAACTGCTTGCCATCTGCATTAGTTGTCTTACTTGATTCTGGAGCAGATGTCAATGCAGTCAGTGTAAAAGATGAGACAAAAACAGCGCTGTCGCTTGTCCCAATTAATTTCTCCCTGTGCACAGAGTCTGCGTTATGCATAGAAACTTTGCTTGATAAAGGTGCCGATGCGTCATATGTAAATCCACGTTTTCTCCCTGAACTGATTCTGACTTTTCGAGATGATTACATACCTAAACTGATTAGTTGTGGATTATGTCCTTCTGACTTTCAGTTGCATGATCCAGAAACCTCTGGTGTTAATGTACTGTCCACCGTGTCACCTCTGTGTCTGGCTTTACTGGTTGGAAATGTGCTTCTGGCTCAGTACTTTGTAGACAACCTGTTTTTAACCAAATCTGATGTTTCCTCATTGTCCAGCAGCGGCTTGCGAGATTTTCTGCATCGCAAAAAACAGCAGGATTGTGTAAACTTTCTCGATACTATTACTGAGCAGCCTTGGTCTCTCTTCCATCTGGCACTAGTGGCTGTATCATCTGCTGTTGGCACATCTCCTGGCCGGGAGAATCAAGTAAATGCCTTGCCTTTACCTGAGAAGATGAAGCACAAACTGTTGTACAGGGCAGATAATGTTGAGCTGATGACACCACGTGACCCAGACACAGTCTTACAGATCCGATGTCGAGGTTTCTGGATGAGAAAGTTTGGAGACTATTACACAAAGACCAAGTCCTTTCAATATATACCCGAAGATTTGGACAGTGACTTTGATTTAGATAGCCTTCTTAACAGTGATTCAGATGATGATTTTGAGTATGGGTCAGAATTATTTAACATGATCTACGGCTATTCAGTCGATGACTTTGGCTTTGACTTGGAATCAGGGTCAAATTACTCATATTCGCCTGATTCAGATTGGTAAAAAAGTTTGTCAGGAGTCAGGCATGATCACCTATGCGTCATCAAGGCATTTGAAGAAGCTAGGGCTATTATTGTTTCCACAAGCAGCTAAAGTTATCAGCATAACGTGAACTAAATTCAGCTGTGCTGACAGTGTTGTGAATCAACACATCTATTTCCTCAGGGGCTCTTTCCACTTTTACCTTCTGTGGCCTTTCCTTGCTGTGTCTACCTTCAAGACAGCAGACCTCATGTCTATTCTGCAGTGGCCAACTTTAAAGGCCCTCCTGGTAGTCACACTGCTGTTAGAGTTAGATCAGTCTCTAATCATTATATTGCTTTTATCAGTCATTCATTCTATATTTTCTCAGTGTTTGTTGTTAACTAGTTTCATCTTTAAAAATAATTTTGTGAGACATTCTGTTGCCTTAAAGTGGTGACCCCTTTTTTATTATTTTGCCTATAAGTATTGCATTGCAACAGTCCCATCCAGAACAGTTTTTTAAAATTAATTTTCCTTTTCCAGATTGTAGCCTGAAAGGTTGACTTTTGGTGAATTCAGGAATCCCTATTTGGATGCATATTTAACAGGAGCAAATCCCAGAAAACCATTCAACTGTATGAAGCAGTCATATTGGGGCACTCAGCATTTACAAGGTGACCTGCTGTAAAAATAAGTATGGGTGTTAAAACTCTGCCATCAAGAAAAGGCAGGACAGCATATGGGCATTTTCAGCTTTCATAAATGCACATGAGCCTCGTGGTGCTCTGAAGCTGGGCTTATCCAAGCAATTGTTTGGTCCTACACATTGATGCTTACATTTATGCAGCCTCTCTTTCATTATGGGCGTGCCTTTAAATAAGGCTAATAAATAGATGGCTTTTTATGGCGTACATAGTTTGATCCTTTTGTATGGTGCTAATAGTTCCCACAGCTGTGTTAGCAGTTTCCAGATCTTGATTGGTGACTTCTGCCATGGTTCTCTTAAAGAAGTGTGTGTTCCAAGCAGATACCAGTTGTAGAAAACATGTAAAAGCAGCACTAATTCTTGTGTTTCCCAGAAGTTGAGCCAGCTTTCTGTAAGCATCCCATGAATCTCTACAGTGTGTTGATTTTATTTTGTCCACCTAAGGAATAAATAACAAAAATATGGCTCCTAAAATAGTCCATGCTCATACTGGGATAGGAGTCAATTCATAGCTCTGTTTTGGTGAATTTTTGTTAATTGGATAAAAAATCCCTTAATGTTGAGTTACTTTCATTTGTTGACTTCAGGACCATCTGAACTGGAAGCAAGCTACATGTAAATGAATGTTTCCTTGCCGGTTTCCTTGTATCTTTTTGTGTGTGTGAATGTTAAATCAATAGTCGGCAAATAGTGTTTGTCAGGTTGTATGTTATTTTTGTGTCAGGTTAAAAATACAATTTTGGACTGACAATTTGACATTACTTGTTGCATGTTTATTCCTAAACTAATTTGTTTCCAACTGAAGACATTTAATCTTGGTGAAGCATAGAGCCATCAGCAACAAATTCATGTTATTCCAAGAAGTCTTCTTCGGTTTGATAGCACGCCAACCGCATATTAAAACCGACAACAAAGAGATTGAAAAAGACACAGATTTGAATATTTGCGCTTAGTTATGAGCAACAAAGACTTGCATTAGCAATGCAGAGATTTAAACAGCACGAAGAACCTATGGCAAAGCACTAGTAAATTTGTTAAAGTAAAAATCTTGAGATCATGCATTTTTCCTGTGGCATCTTACGGCTGAGAGTCCTGGACTCGCACACTTAGTCACTAAAGAAAAAGATCGGAGCTTTTGAATTAAAATGTTACAGAAAAATTCTTAGAACACCACAGATCAAGAAAAGGAAAAACATCGACATTCTACACGAGTTAAATATCAAGATATGGCTCATAAACAGCGTCCTGTCCTGAAAGTTGAAATATTTTGGCCACATCAAACGTCACGGTGGCTTGGAAAAGATATGGGGCTGGCTGACTAGGGAGAGGGATACTTCCAGGCGTTCCGTGAAGAGAGCGACGTTCTGTAAAGGACTAGCTGATTGATGATGAGTGAACAACAATGGTGACTGAAAAAAAATTAGGGGGGAAAAAAACCATGCTTTAGCAATGCAGAGGTTAAACAGCATGAAGAACCTATGATACAACACTTGCTAGCGAGTTAAATTAAACATTTTGAGGTCATGCGTCTTTCCCGTGGCAACTTATGGTTGTTAGTAATAGACTCCTTACCCAGTCTTTGAAGAAGATAACAATTCTGAAAACACCATGGGCCAAGAAGAAACGTAATTGTGGCCTAGAGAGAAGTGTGATGGAAGGTGACTGATTGATTGACATTCAACCCCACCAGGACCGCACGACGAGCAGTTAACACCTGGTGACAGAAAGTGCCACTATTCGGATAAGAATCACCAGGACGCAATTTCTAGAAACCCCCTTCAACTCGTAGGTTTTATTTAGGACCCCAGACGGGATGGGGCTTTAAATTAACAAAGGGGGGGGGGGGGGGGGGGCAAAGTTTTTTTTTTTTTTTTAACTGAGTTTTGAGACTTCGGTTTAAAAAAAAAAAAAAGCGGCAGACGCCGACCTCCTGAAAGTGGATTCAAGGCATTGGATATGAAAGGTTAGGCTAGAGAAAGAAAGACTTTAAGGCCGCCGTTGTGTTTTGTAAAGGACCTGCTGACTGATGAGGCTAGGTTTTCAATCAACCAACCATGGCGTGGTGATTTAAGTCACAGCACAGGCATGAGAGCAAGTTAATGTCGTCGTGATGTGTGTAGGGATATCCCGTACCTAGCGTTGGGCGTCATGATCAACAAGCAGCCGTAGAAACATCAGATCGGTCCAAGTTGCAAAAGGGAGAAAGGCAGGGGTGCATTCTCTCACCGTACCTATTCAATATAAACATATTTATATGTGTGTGTGTGTGTGCAGAAAACAATGACACATGTGAAAAAATGAACAGACGTGTGACGGTTATTATCCGCTTATAATGTGTGGCAACTTAACTCCAGAACTTCGCTATGCAGATGATACAGTTCTCCTTTCAAATAATGTGAAGGGAATAAAACACTCAATCATGTCTTTCCAAAAACATAGTGAAGATCAAAATCTGTTCTGGAATTTAAAGACTGTTTGCCATCTCAAAATTAACATTAAATGATTAAGATATTGAAAATGTCACAAACTTAGACTATCTAGGCTCCATAATAAACAGCAGTGGAGACTGTTTAACAGAAGCCAAACGGGAGATAGCCAAAGCAATGCAAGGCAAAGGATTAAACAGCATGAAAAAATATATGTTTAAGAATCGGCAAGGAAATCAGTGTCATAATTTTGAGGGTATGCTTGTTCACTGGATCAACATAGAGATGTGAGTCGTGCACTATCTCACAGTCCTTAAAAACAGGGACTTTTGAGCTGAAATGCTATAGACAGATTATCAAATTACCATAGACAAGAAAGAAAAGAAACACATTCTAAAATTTTTGAACATCAAGGAAGATTGGCTGATAAACATCATCTTGTCTCGGAAGCTGAAATATTTTAGTCACAGCAAGCACCAGGATTGCAAATAATAATAATAAAAGCAGAAAGCATAGTGCCAGGAAGGAGAGGCAGCAGCCGACCAACATGAAGAAAGGGACCCAATATAAGTTACTCTTTGGATATAAAAGTACACAAGGCGGGAGACAGACCGTGCTGAGAATGACGTTATGTAAAGGACCTGCTACATGATGATGATTAACCTTGGGTGCCAGCAGGCTCTGTGCTAGTTTTAGCGTGTAATACTTCTGCCACACGTCCCCTTCATGCCACAAATGTTAAATTGAGAATACACATATTACTCGACGCACTCCCATAATCGATCCGTCCCCATCTTCAGCAGTAAGCGAAAAGTTCAAATTCCTATGGTATCAGTAACTGTCTAACTACATCCGTCTCACCTTTCATTTGAGTGTTAAGCGTTGGCCCCATCCCCTGGTAATGCTTGCCACTCTCCATGGAACATGCCTGTCTCCACCTTTCTCAACAGATTCTGCTTTACAATTACGACATGTGTGTATCGATTTTTCTCAATCCAGCTACATCTGATTCTCAATAAAGCTGAAGACATCAGAGCTATCATATTGTTGGTCATTTACTCGATTTTCTACTTGCGTGTAAAGATTTTCTCAGCCATGTCGATAATGAAAACTGAAACAGAAATCGAATGATACAGCAGTGCTTTTTTTTCTATCAGAATTAACGCTCCAGCCACGTAGACCCATAAATGATTTGATTCGATTTGATTTGATTCAAGAACCGACATCACAGCACTCGGGGCATTCAAGCCCCATCTTCAGCAGCCAGCGAAGAGTTTCAATACTAAAGGTGCCAGTAGCATATTGATTAAACGTCCATCTTGCCTTTCCCCTGAGCCTCGAGCATCTGCCAGAACCTCTCGTCACTCCCAATTGCATCAATCTCACCAGACTATGGTGATCCATCTGCTCCTCCGAATTGTACACGCTTTCCCACAAGGCACTAACCACGTCTGCCTTATCATGTTTCAGTATTCCACCAAGTTGTGCAGAGCCAGCCAGTCTGTCCGCCTGTTCATTTTCCAACACACCGGTGTTACCGCGGTGAAAAAAATCCAGACAATACTCCTCACCGTGCCCTCCGCAGCGAAGCATGCCACTCCGCACGAAGCATACCTGTTCTGATCTTCGTCAGCATGCTTTCTGAATTAGTCACAATCACGATGTGTGTGTGTGTGTGTGTGTTTGTCGTGTTCTCTAGCCATTGGGAAGCTGCAATGAACGCCTCCACCTTTATTCTTAAGCTGGATGTTGTGGTATCATATGCTAGGCTCTCCTGCACCAAACGTCGACCATTAACTTTAGCTAAGAATCCCTAAGCACTTCTTTTGCCTCTTGACACTGGACCGTCTGTGTAAATGATTAAATCCTCCGAGCGAGCATTATATTGAATTAATTGCTGAATTTCA